AGAACTATTAAGCTGAACAAGTCAATAGATCCTGGTATATTAACACATTAAATGGGTGAATATTTCAGGCACAATAATCTTTGGAACCCTTCAGACTCGGAAACAATATGTGAAGAGGTCTGTTGTTCATTTCTGAACAACATAAACAAAAACTTTTTTTCTAATTATGGTTAGTAAGGAAGGAGCTTAACCAAATACAATCTAATGAATGCTAGGGATGAAATATACAAATTAATCATGCAGTGGGCAAATGTTTCAGGAACATTTCATGTTTCATTTCCAACAACTACTGTACACCCACAACTCCATCAGAAAGGGGGCACCCAGAAAAGGATCCCCACAAATGCTACTCTTTCCCATCTGTGTGGGAAGTCTGTTATTGAAATCCAGCTCATATCCGACTGCCCCCTAACAAACCCATTCATCTCCATGAAAAAACAACATCAACCTCTCAAAAGTAGCACATCAACTGCCCTGCCAGATCTCGCCACCTTAAACCTGAAGCAATCCTGTTGGTTGATACAGAGTACATCTCTACAAACTACGAGTGGTCCTTCGGACCAGATAGGCGGGGTATAAATCAAAAAAATAAAAATAAACCTGAATGGCTGAGAAAGTTAAGCCCGGATGAAAGGTAAATGTAAATAATTTTGAAAAGCTAGGGTCTCTCTAACTGCTCCCAATGGCTGTTGAGGCAGGAAAGCAGCAAGTGGGCAATGATCAACTGTTAAGAGCACTGTTGCTCCAGCAATCATGTGACCTCAGAGGTCATGTGACACATTATCTCATTATGTCCTCAGCGGTATGTCAATAGTTGGTTGAATGTCTCTCACACCCCAACCAGGCTGCTTGCAAGAGTGAAATAAAAATCTTGTCCTGTGGATCATAAATATTTCTGCATGGACTGCTGTCGGGCTGTTTTGTTTTTATTTTTCTTATAAGCTCATAAATGATAAGTAATATCTCCAAATGAGCATCCATTAACTATCTTAGTTAATGTCGTGGAGCTATTTACCTACTCCTTTTTAGGTCAAGAGTCAAGAATGGAGTATTAGAAGATGTTGGAGAACTAACTGCCATTCAAAGCACTATTTATGTCACAGAACCCTGGTCCACATTCAGAAAATGTTAGTACTAAAATAAATCTTTCTTTTTCTTGTCCTGACTTAGGGCACAATCTTAACTAGCCAGGCTGGCCTTAGGCTGACTGAATCATACTCTCACAATTAAGAGGCAGATGCCTGTTAAAGATACAGTGCTATTTCCCCCAAATACAAGTCCTTTCTGCAGCTGCCATGAATCCCATTGCAACACCAGTTTGTGCCGTAGAAGGCTAAGCCCCTCCTAGTGCATTTGGCGCAGTCACCAAATGGACACATGACATCTGCCTTTCTCTCATTTAAACGTCCACCCACCTCACTGTCTGAGAGAACCACAGGAAGCAGCCAAAGAAAACTTCTCTTTATTGATCTATAGATGGCCTCACATTACTCCCTCTTCCCACTGCCCTAGCTCATAATTAGTGGCAAGGTTAGTGACTACAGCTGTTTAATTTATAGTTCCGACAAAAATTCTTTGGCTGTGCTTTCCAGGGATCCTATAGTCTGTTGTCCATCTGATACAATTCTGCACAATTCTACACAACTCTACACAGTTCAAGGCCTGGCCCTTTCACTGTCCATCTTCCTGCTCTCCTTCCTGGTTGGGTAATGTTGAGTTTGCACTTGGACTCTCCTTTCTGTTTTTACTCATGATTGGGCAGCTTGGGTCCCTCCTACAAATACTAAATTTGTGGCTTATGATTGGAGGGCCAGCTTGAATCCCTACCACTGGCAAACCACCTGACCTTCTGGTTCATGATGGGGGGGCAATTTGAATCCCTCCCACCCTTGTCTCTTGGCTCATGATTGGTGGGGCCAGCTTTTATCCATCCCAGTGATAACTTGCCCACCCCTTACCTCCTGACTGATGATTAGGGCACCAGCTTGTATCCATGCCAGTATCTTCCCAGCCCCCTCAGCCTCATGAGTCATCCCATTCACACAGCTCATGACTGGCAAACCATGCATTCCTTCCCACCCTTCCCATCATTATCAATGAAAATAGGGTTTGTGTCCCTCTCTGAGCATGGCCGTGAGCTACCTTGTCTAATTAAGAAACTTAACTCAGAGTTGTTGTACATAGCACTTTATTGAGCAGGTATCTCTCCTCAGAAGCACCTTTGTATCTTAGACATGAGCGTGACACGCCCCTCCATGAGCATTACATGCCCACCTATGAGCACGGAGGTGCCCCTGCCCCCCCAAGCAGTCCGCGCAGGGATCCCACACCCCCCCCCAAACGGTCCCAAGGTCCCAAAAAGTTTGGGGACTGCTGTTCTACAGAATTGGAGAATATCTGGTGTAGATACTCTGTGAATACAGTGGGTTTGCTGGAGGGGAGAAAGAGGAAGGTCATGTGGGTAGACATCTGATGGTGAACACCACTTTAGGTCACCTGCCACCCAGTCTCCCTAAAACAAGAACAAGGACTTTGCTTCAGTAGGAGGATCAGAGGTATGCAGAGTAATGAATCTGTTCATATACTTGTTTTTATTGTAAATAATAATGTAACATAACTTTTCATACATGAAAGCTTCGCCTGTGCAGGAGAGCTGTTGCGTTAGTAGAGAGGTTTGTTTATGTAGGCTGATACTTAATTTGCATTTTGAAATGCATTACTTTCTATGTGGCATACATATGAAAATATTATCCTTCGATTTTATTTTGTATTGATTTTAACTTTGCTATGGCTTGTGAGAAAATACAATTCATTACAAATAAAACAGATTTTATAGATTTTGTATGTTCTACGGGTAAACATATTTTATGTAGAATTGTTTTCAAATAAATATTATTTATATTCACAGAAGTATTTCCAAGAGATTCCAACTTAAAGGACAAATTCATCAAACACTTTACAGGTAAGAATATTTTTATGCAGTTTTTCCCCCTCTGGATACTGTTTACATGAAGTAAAACATTTGCCCTCCTCTCTCCCATTGGAGAGAGCCCAAAATATAAATTATTTGCTCCAACTTCTTGAGGGCTGCCATTTTTTCATTGTTTTCTCAACAGTAATACTCCCTACTGAAGAAATAAGAGACACCTCATAGGAATGGAGAGAATCTTGAGTCTTGAAACACATGGCTGATAATTTGGTAGTCAATTTCCATCAGTTGAACATTGTTAACATCTTCTGATGGTTTTCTACCAATGAATTAGGAAAAAATCAGTGATGTAAAAGAGTTAAAGTGAAACATTTTGTTCATTTAAAATATACAGATCAAAATCCTGTTGTGTAGTTACTGCTGGTAGAAGGGAAATGTCTTTCAGCAGCAAATTGCCACTCATTAATGAGTCCCCATGTAGATTTTGAGTTACACATGAAACTACCCAGCCAGTATCCAATTAGGAATCCAAATGGGGACTTGTTAATTAGTGGCAACTTGCCACTGAGACCTACGATATTTCCCTTCCACTGGCATAATGACACAATAGGATTTTGACCTAGGCTTTATGTTTAATTTCAGCCCCATTTCTGCCCTTTCTTTTCAGTAGCTTTCATTAAAAAGATTTTGTATAACTGAGACTAAGAACATTTGTATTGAGTGTACATTGTTATGAAGGTGTATATAACTATCAAAAGATAAGTCATAATGATATTGTAAGTACATACAGTTTTTGGTGGGTTGGATCTAGATTTAATTGTATACATTCCATTTCAATAAGCTACTGTATGACTGAATCTTTATCCAACTCATTATACTCAAAGCAAATCTAGATCCCTAATATTTTTACCTCATATGAGCTACGTTACTATTTATTTATTTTTGTCTAATTTTTTGTGGCTTTTTGATTAATCAAGCAAAAATAAATTTTAATAGTTATTTCATATTTTTATTATAATTTTGGTGAATCATGGAAAAAATTAACCAATCCCAGTCAAGCAAACTGAATTGAGTCAAAAAACCTCACAGGTCTAGCTTCCAAATCAAAACTTTAATACAGCTTTCAAGAGGAAAACACATCCTGTTATCTTCAGGATTCACAGCTTTCAAGAGGAAAAGACATCCTGTTATCTTCAGGATTGCAAATGGCATGCTAACTACATTGCAAACTGTGATAATTAAAACATTATTTGACAGCAGTTTAAAACATTTTAAAAAGATTTAAAGCATGTTCTGAAAGCTAATATTAAACCTATCTTAGATGTCTCAAAGGACTTTCCAGTTTCGACTGGAAGTTAGAAACTTCAGAGGGATGGGGCCTGCCTGCCTTCCCCTGGAAGGAAGCACCACAATCAAAGTGTTGCTATAGTGAAAGCCCCATCTCTTGTATCCACCAACATGGATCACAGGGTTACAAGACACATACCAGGGCCTTCATTGAAGAGTTCCCAGTGTGGACAAGCACATGTGGGAGGAGGCAGTCTTTTGAATATCCTGTTCATATGTCATTTATACCTTTGTAAATCAAACTTTGAGTTGAGCTTGGAAATAAATTGAAAACCAGTACAGTTAATTTAAGATGGGTGTTGCATGGTCTCTAAAATGCATACCAGGCAAAAGTCCGGTTGCTGCATTTGTGCTAGTTGTAGGTTCTGAAATCTTTTCAAAGGTAGTATCATATAGACTAGAGCACATTGCTGTAAAATCAATGTAGCTGTGAATGTAGCTCTGGCCAGATCTTCATTCTCTCTAAAGCATTGCAGCTGGCAAACCAGCCAAAGCTGGATCAAGTAGCCACTTGGTTTTCTGAAAAAAATGCTGGATCAGAGTGCACCCCACCCTGCAAACATGCACCTCAGAGAGAGTACAGACTATTGCAGCACAGTCTGCAGTCTCATACCCAGATTTGCCTTTTAGTTGATGTGGTCTTGTCTGGATTTAACCTCATTTTGTTCACCCATATCAAGTCCTTCACTGCATCCAGCTATCAATTCACAGTTTCTTGCCATTATAGTTTGTAACTGTACTAAAATCAACATCAAATTTAATTAACTATTTTATCTTAACAGGTCCGGTCACATTTTCAGCTGAATGTAGTAAGCATTTTCATCGGCTATATCATAATACGCGGGATTGTTCAACACCAGCCTGTAAGTTGTAGCTAAAATCATGATAATGTTTTAGTGTTATGTCTGTCTGATCTTAAATTAAGACTGAGCAATGTCCTTAACTTTTATTCTGTTTATGCTGTTCACAAAATATGCAACATTATTATAATCAAATGTGCACCCTCCCCAAGTGACAGGTTAAATTTAAGACATGAAAAGAGCACTTAAGACCAGAAAGTTTAATTCTGAAATGTAGATGTGTGTATATATATGTTTGTGTGTGTATATACCATTTTATGCCATTTTTATAACACACACACACACAGAGAGAGAGAGGTACACCATTTTATGCCATTTTTATAACACACGCACAGAGAGAGAGAGAGAGAGAGAGAACTAAATCCAGCATAATACTGTATTAATGGAAGAAAAGGCAGCTGATTTCTATTTCTAATTAAGCAAGCCAGCAAACACTTGCTCCCGTAATCCCTAGTCATGCTACTTATTGCACCACAAATTGTGCAGTAAGTGACTCCTTGAACAATCAATTAGGCTGCCAGTCCTCCAACTGAAAAATTGTCCTAAATTTCCTCATTGTGCTTAGATGGGAAGCCATGTCTCTGCGAGTGCAGTCTGCTGTAGTAAAATGATAGCAATGAATTCTGCCTGTTCATATATTTATATGATGCACTGATCTTATTTATTGAATTTCATCTGGTGTTAATCCATCCATGATCATCTTCATGGAGAGATCTCCCGTGATTTTCTCCTGCTCTTTCTATCTCTATCTCTCTTTTTTAACTATAGAATATTTACTCCAGAGGGAAAAAAACAGAACTGTTTTAACTTGTAATGCTAGGAGCTGCCTGTTACTAATCCAGTGCCTCAATCTGTTGTTTTCATTTGGAAGTTCCTTAAACACATTTGGTCTTTAGTAAATGGATGGAGTACCACTCTTCTGGAGATTTTTGCCCAATGAAAGGAAGGGGCATTTCTGGTTGATTATTCAGTGCTGTGTGTTATTTGAGGGAGGAATTTCAGAGCTGCAGCTTGTTTAGGGGATGGTGAGGAGTTCCAGTGGCTGACAGAAAACATGATGGGAAGGGGAATAGCTATTTAAAATCTACAAAGCCCCATCTGTTTCCCCAAAGTTCTCAAAGTCCCCCAAGGTTTGTAAGCCTGCTTCTAGGATGGGACATATGGTCTGGGTTAAGCATTGTTTAATTTATGGTTTGTGCTTATGTCACAGTTCATGTTCATTCACGTAGATCAAGGACAATCTCTTTATGGGGTATAGGCATATTTCTCATAGTTCAGTTATCAATTTTTGACAAATAGGAGGAAAAACAAAGTCCAAGACCATGCACTATAATTTGTTATAAAATGCTATAGTTTATATTCTTAGATATAAATCTTATTTGAGCTCAGTGATTAGCTCAGTGAATACAGAACAAGGAGCTTACTATATTAAAATTGAGTTTAATTTTGACATTTCCTATTAAGGCAATACTTGAAGAACCTGGATCTTAAAAACATCAGTTATCTTGATGAATTCTACTATTACAGGGAACTTGGGGAAAAGGAAATGCATTACTTAATCACCAACATACAAACCATTGGTCATGCATGGCCATGTGGTTTATTTCCCACTTTCAGTTCTTCAATGCTTCAGATTAAGATAATTTCCAATGGGTAATTTTAACTGGCTATAATTGTGTCTGAAAGATGAAGAGTGATGCTTGGGAACTGGGAGTCTTCCACTTCTTCTGAAGCTAAATTCTGGAGAACAAACCATTCAAGGTTCAAAGCTGCCCACTATCCAAATGGCATGAATTATGGTGGATTAACATATTTTTATGCTATTCAGTGATTTTCATATGCTAGTTTGTATCTATGCTAGAACATCGATTTCCAATGGTTTAGATAGACTATATATGGCTTTCCAAATTGTGGTGGTCTCAGAGGCCCATCCAGCTTGTTGGACTTAACACAGTCTAAATGATAGGATTCCAGTCATCATAGTCATTTCCCCATGTGCCGCTAGAAAAATCACAGAACAATGAAAATAGTTGATTAGATGAATTTACTTTTAATAATACTGGTTAAGAGGATGTCAACACTTATAATGAAATGCAGATATCATCCTGAATAGAGTATAGTATGACTGAATGATTTAGGAAGATGTGCTAAGCACTGCCACATAGACTAGGGGCTGTGAAACAATCTATAATTCTTACAATTCTCAATATAAATTAAAATGTGGGGGCAAAGCTTCATGAGCTCTGTTTGAGCCCACATTGAAATAGGAATGTGTTTATATTATCCACTTTAGTTACATTTTTCAGCAGATAAATTTTACTGAAGTATCATTAGATAGCTCTAAGAGGCCTTTGCAATGATGGGGTAGATTGTTTACTCTTACGACAAACCAGGAATTGGTGCATATAGTACAGCAGCTGCATGACCACTTCGTCATATGATGAAACTTAAATAACACTTCAGCTCATGTGATCAGAGTCATATAGGATGATCACTGCAATGCTCATATATTGAGTGCAAACAAGTTTAAATTTTTATTTACTATTTGTAGACATTTAACAGCACAGTCCTATACACATATGAGAAGTAAGCTGGATAACACTTCTCCCAAGTAAATAGTTACAAGTCTGCTGTCTCCATCCATTTAGATGGGCATAAGCCCCAGTGGACTGAAAGGGATTAACTTCTAAATAGATGTGTATGGGATTGTACCAAATAGTTAATAAAAGTACATCATTTGCATATGTACACTATTTTTAAATGTGGCATTTAATAAACCTCTTATTCAACTTTCTCCTAATATTTAAGACCTAAATTCAAAGTACAAGCAGGATTTTCTTTCTCTACCCCTGCCCCCTTTGACTACACTGTCTGAAATCCTTCCAGAGAAGACTTTGTGAGCCTAGAATGGAGGGAGTGAAGGTCAAGGGGACTCACCTTTTCTCCCAGCTCTGTTTATGGAAATAGTTCGATAAGTTTAACATACAATCGTGTGAAAAAGAAAGTACACCTTCTTTGGATTCTATGTTTTTACGTATCAGGACATAATAAAAATAACCTGGGCCTTAACAGGTCTGAAAATTAGATAACTACAACCTCAGGTGAACAACAACACATGACATATTACACCATGCCATGATTTATTTAACAAAAATAAAGCCAGAAACGGAGGAGTTCATGGTCAACTCAATAACTGCAAGGTGCCCAGGTCTGGTGGCCGCAAAATAAACCCAAATCTCCACCACCATGGTTTTCACCAGACATGGCACTGCGCATTATGACCAAAACATCTCCACTTTGGTCTCCTCTGTCGAAAGGACATTGTTCCAGAAGTCTTGTGGTTTGTCTAGATGTGACTTTATAAACCTGAGCCATGTTATTTTCGGAGAGAAGAGGATTTCTCCCTGCAGCCCTTCCAAACCAACCATTCTTGTTTCAGTCTTTTTCTAATTGTACTGTCATTAACTTTAATATTTCACATACTAACTGAGTCTTGTAGAGTCTGAAATGTAACTCTTGGGTTTTTGGCAATTTCTCTGAGCATTGCACGGTCTGACCTTGGGGCAAATTTGCTTGACATCCACTCCTGGGAAGCTTGGCAACTGTCTTGAATTTTTTTCCACTTGTGAATAATCTTCCTCACTTTAGAATGATGAACTTTAAATTGTTTGGAAATGGCCTTATAATCCTTCCCAGGTGATGGGCAGCAACAATTCTTTCTCTATGATCATTGCTGATGTGTTTCCACCTTGGCATTGTGTTAACACATATCTGAATGCTCCAGAATGCTGTTCGTTTAACAGCAAATGGTTAAAACATCAGTTTTTATAAAGGTGGTCACTTCTGCATTTCGTTAACAGCACCTGGCTTCTACTTAGTCTTTTAATTCTATAGAAGCAGTAAGGGTGTACTTTGTGTTTCACACATGGCTTCTCCATGTTGCCTTTATTTGTTTTAAATAAATCATGACACAATGTAATATATAATATGTTGTTTATATGAGGTTGTATTTACCTACTTTTTAGACTTGCTAAGGGCCAGACAATTATTATGTCCTGATACATAAAGCCATAGAATTCAAAGAGAGTGTATTTTTTCACATGACCGTAATTGGATCTTAGCCTGCAAGTACAAACTTCAGCATATTTGCAGTAGAAAGCAAGAATAAAATAAAATATTGTCATCAGATTGCAATCTCTCTCTAAAATTAATTTGTATGTTTGAACATATGTGGTTTTTTTCCAGTTTAAGATAACTTAAAGCAAATTTCATTTCTGGGAATTACACGTATTTGAACACATCTTAATTAAGAACTTTGTTTTTGTGGTTTTAAATAGATTACAAAAGGTGTGCAAGATTGCTGACAAGGTTAGCAATGAGTCCACTGTGTACCCAGCCATAGAAGTCCTGTTTTGTAAGTATCATATTTTTTTTCTAATTTAGTAATTAATTTGATTATAGTAGCTTTTTCCCTCTTCAAACCCTCCACGAAAGAAAGAAATAGATAAATTATTTTCTTATTTGAAATCTTCATTGTATATTCTTCAGGTACCTTTCAATGGGTACAAAATGTTTCCAGTTTAATAATTAGTATATCTTCCCATCCCATGTGTAAATTACTAAATTTTACATGATGCCAAGCAGGAATAGATGGGGAGGACAGCTATTAGGAATGTGAGGAAAAAGACTGTGGAGTCTCACCTTTTATCTCCTTTGCTAGAATACAATGAATATCTTCTCCCCACCACCACCACCTTCAACCCATGATTGCTCTTTTCATAAAGTAGGCAACACATGTTGCCCTGGTTCATATTTTTCTGCTGATTGTATATAGCAGAGTTTTGGAGCAGTTTTTCACTAGATATATGACAGAGGGGGAAGGATTAACTTTTTCCTCTTCTTGTGGTCATGGTAGTAATCATCATGGTAGCTACAAGAATGACCAGTGATAGAAGCCTATGGTCCAAGCATAGGAGCATCTTACCCCAAATGGGCACCATGCTGAATAACTGTGACCTGTTCTGTAACTTCAGTTCTGTCTATGGTTCCAGCACAATACTTGTCCTTAAACCTGGACTTGTGAGCATTTTGGCAGCCAAGTGTTATTTGTGGAGCAAATATATTATATGTCCCAGTGCTCTGCATTTGCTGCAGTTTCCAAACATAGAGTGTAGAGTACATTCCAATGATGCGTTGTTGAGCATATGCATATGTGGCTTACTGGCCCGGATCTTTCTGTGTAGGAGTCCATGGTTGTTGTAGCAGCTCAAGCTGATAAAAGTCAGTCTGTCATTGAAACAACATGAGCCTCAGTGACTGGACTAAGGAATATGGACTGAGGATTATTTTCACATTCAAGAGAAATCTCATTCAGAACAGAGAACTTATGTATTTGTTCAGAGTGAAAGAGTGACTTAGAGCCTTTGTCGTCTCATATTTAGTTTCCAAGTATCAGCATATGTAGATTTGCTGTAAACGTGTAAATATTGCTCTCAATCTGCAGATCTGTGGTTTCAATTAAAAATATGAGAAAGGAAATGTTTCATAAAGTACACATTTTTCATGCAGGAGGCCTTAAGTTCAGTCCCCAGTATTAAAGATTTTTCTTTGTTGCATGTTATGAATCTGACTTAGGCCCTGTTGTATTTGGGGTAAAGGGCAAACCGTAGAATCTGATGCTATAAGCTCATATTGAAAAGAGGCCAAACATCTTATACTTGTGAGCCTTTCCTGCAGCAGAGTCATTGAGGGGAAGATTCCCCTGTTAAGCCTTGTTGACAGCTGCCATCTTCTTATACTGTATTTTCATGACAAGGATGTTACTGCTATAGCTCTCAGTTCTCCTTTAGAAAAGAGATGTGATGGTCAGCCCCACAGTTGTCTTCAATAAAAATATATTACAGTACTAAGATGGTTGTGATTTAGCCTCTGGCCCTGCTATCTGGGTTTAAACTGCATCTTTGAGATTTGTCTCATTAGCTTTGTGCTGGGGCAGTTGCCAAAATTTAATAAGTGGCAAGACTAGAGAAACGAGAAACAGAAGTAAGGAAGAAAAAAAAACAGAAGTTTCCTTGCAGTCTTAATGGAGAGCAAAAAAAACCAGTCCTCAAACCACCACAGCCTCTTCTTTCTCCTCCTGTTTCTAATTTCAAAGGAGGTGAGATGGGTACCTAAAAACAAAGTTCTCCAGCACAAACTGAGAAGATGTATGTAAAACTGAGAAGACTTGCAATGGGGATACAGAGAGGGGGGGGAGGAGGGGAGGAGCTGAAAGGAGAGATGTCTGTCTTCCTGTTCATGTGTTAGGCTGCAAGGAAACCTCTACTTACATTTTTTTTGTATGTGGCATTCTGTTCTATCACTATACAAGATGCAAGAATTTTTTTAAATTATTATTTTTTAAATGGAGAGGCTTAAGCAAAGATTGAGAAGGGAAGGTCCTGGTGATAAAAATAATGCCATGGTAGCAGCAGCTAGTGGCTGTGAGAGGCATCCAGTGAGACAGCAGGTGGGTGCAGGACAAAGCTACAAATGCAATTATTCTAAAAGTCTATGTAACCCCCTCAAACAATATACAACACAAATTAAAATAAGTTAAAAGTTTCTCACTGGAGGATACACACACCAACACAAAACCGCATGACTACCACATGACTTTAATCATTACATTAATGTAATCATGTTTTCAGCTGGCTGAAGCATTTTTGCACACTATCAGTTCTCTTGGATGTTTGTTGCCCATACCTTCTCTTTGTATCCATTTCAGGACCATGGAGAGGAGTATTGATACAATAATGCAGGCAGTTTCAATGTTCAAAACAACAAAAGGTTTAAACTTCAAATTAGATTGTTGCCAATGATTTCAGATCACAAAATACTATTAACAATATTCATTTTTGCTTGTTTTTAGTAGAAGAAAATATTTATTAGCCTATAAGATAGATATATTTAAAATGTAGAGGCTCTTTTCAGAGAAATGTACCGGGACTGTGACAGCATGTGTTCATCTGAAAGCTGGAAAAGATTGTGTGCACTTTATTCTAGAGGGATTTCTGTACAATCTGGATCCTTGCTTTTTAAAAGGTTCTTATGTTTCTGGGAAAAAGTTCTACATGCATGAGCCTTTGATCTTGATTTTAATGTGGGCAATATTGGTTGAGGTCAACAAATATGACAGCATTTGCATTCCCTTGCATTCATTGGATATAGTATGAAAAGGGCTATCATCTGATGTGTATTTTTATGTTAAAAAGCACAAGCCTATAAATTGATCTCTACTGATAGTATCTTTATTCACTTTGAAAATAGGTGAACAATAATACAGTGACTGGTCTTTTTGACTTTCCTGCTAAGACTGAACTCTGGCTTGCCAAGAAAGTGCCTTGAAAACTATCCCAAGACAATGAAGAAGACATCATGATCTTTTTGATTTACAGCATATTTTGCTACTAGATTCATTTTATTTTCATATATGTTGGACATTCCACATTTGTGTAAAAGGAACATATTTTATTTGAATGTGTAAATATGTTGCCTATAGCTCAAATAAGCCAATTTATTTAAATATATTGTATATAAAGACTACTAATAATGTACTAATTAAATGTTATAATTATATGCAAGGAGTTGGTTAGTATTTGCTATTCTTTTGTTTCATTGTATGTACACCATTTTGCTCAGGCTCTTACTTTCATTATTTGCACTAACTTGAATTGCAGAAATCTCTGTAACTGAAATATGAATAATCTGCAAGAGGGATGTTTTACTTTCAGTGAAAAATACTTTATATTATGAAGCTTTGGTAATATTTATGCCTTCATAATATATTATTGCCCAACAGAACAAAAAGTTCAGAAATGCACATTGCTTTGGAGAACATTTGGAAATCTTTTCTGGATTGTCATCAGTTATATTTGTACTGGCACTTATAGAAAGAGTAGCAAATAATGTAAATACATAAGACTGGAAGACTGCAATGCAGTGTGGGTTGAATTAAAAATATAAATATACAATCATTTCCATGTTTTTATTGATAGTTTGTATAAACTGATACGGTTATGCACACACTTCTAAGAGTATCTGGAAGTTGAGTCATGGCAACTCGACTTCTTTATTGTTAGGTTGAAACATTTCACTCTTCCTCCAAATAGCTCCTCAGTCTGAAGAAGCTACTTGGAGTAGCAAAACATTTCAACCTAACAAGAAGGAAGTCCAGTTGCTATGACTCAGCTTCCAGATAACCACACCTGGATGACTGAGAATCTTCACAAATAAACTTCTAAGGGTAAGTATATTGTAGCACTAAAAAAGACTGTGAAATGCAAATATAGTTCATGCAACAAGTCATCTTCCTCTTTTTTTCCAAAAGAGCTTTAATGCTAAAATGAAATGCAGAAACCATTCATGGAAAGGACCGGTAAAGTTTGTTCCAATGTGCTATAAAGCCCACATAGCACATCCATGGACTGTGTCAATCCTTTATTCTTTGGCTCTTGCTAATTCATTAATTTTGTGAATTATAGTTTGTGACACTGAACTAGGAAGAAAAGTTTTAAGGAAGACTAAAGGTGACTCTACATCTCTTGGAACATTTAAGTTATGTCATATTTATCAAAGCAAGTTGGGGAAAAGGCAGGGACATATGCCATTCAACCAAATGTGAAAACCCTTAATTGGAGTTTGGTCGAAATTTTATCCTAAATTCTTTCTATCACATTATTCCAATGAACTATAGATGTTTTTTCCTTCTCTATTTTTTCCTTTGTTTGATAGAAATTCTTTGTGGCACTGCTGCCAAATCAGTGGAAGAAGCAGTGAATCACTGCATTATGCCATAATATTTTAGGCTATTTTTGCATTGAAATATAAATTAGCAGTCAGTTGGACAGATTGCAATCTGTGCTAAAAATGAAGAGAGCCATCGCAGGGATGTAAGCAAGCAAAACAGAAACCTGATGTGTAGGATCACAGAAGGCTTTTGTGGAGAAATTTGGCACAAACATAGACATCCATTCCCTATGTCTATGAAGGCAGATCACTCATATGCAGGGTGTGTCTTGGTCTCAACAGAAGTTTATATTTGCCAAAGTATTGTATCATTAGAAAAATAAGTATATACCATGCATCTAGTTTAAATGCATATGAAATGCTTTGAACACTTTTATGTTTGCTGTAACTTTTTTTTGTTAGCAGTAGTATAATAATAGTAGGATGGCTTAACTTGTATAGAAATCTTATGTATGTTTCTTTTTTTGCTGTCCGAGGAATAGATAAGTATTTGGGGATAAAACTGAGAATGGGTGGTAATTTATTTATTTATTTTATTTATATCCCGCCTATCTGGTCAATTACGACCACTCTAACCTCCATTTAGGGCTAGATGGGAAAAAGTTCTTCCAATCAATTTCTATGTTGTAGAGCAGTGATTCCAAGCCTTGGGTCCCTATATGTTCTTGGACTACAACTCCCAGAAATCCTGGTCAGCACAGCTAGTGATTATAGCTTCTGGGAATTTTTGTCCAAGAACACTTGGGGACCCGAAGTTGAAAACCATTGGTGCAGATGACAATTCCTGTAAGAATAGGAATTATATAGCTTTGAGAAGAGAAGGCTTTGAAGATGAATTGTAAGAAAATTTTCTGGGGCTTAAGCCATGTCAGCCATTGATTTGCTAACAAATCAATGATTCTTTAAACATTTACATTTACTATCTCATTTTTCCAGCAGTAAGGTTTCAATTCACCAAGGCCGGACACTGGATAGTCATTTCTTTAATGTTAGAAATGTGAACAAGAATGAAAGCAGCTCAACCTACTGGCCTAGTATGTCTTCCTTACAGTCGAAAATAAGATGGCAATTTGAATGAGGGATAAGACACCATTCTCATTCTGATCAGTCTCTGCTGATCAGTGATATGTCCAATTCTCAAAAGGTATTTTGGGGGCAGGTGCTGAAATTTCAGCCACTTAGTTTAACACTTTTTAACAGCTGCATTGGTATAAAGTGTTAATAAAGATTATCAGGTAGAAAGAAGGGCATATTCTTCCAAATTTACAAGGCTGTTGCAAAAGTAATTTATAGCTTTCTAATCTAAAGTTCTTTCAGGATATCAGTAAATATGTGGATGGGGTAATCTGGCAGGCAGTATTTCCTAGAACTTCCAAAAGTTATTGACTAGATCCCTCATCAAAGACTCTTGACTAAAACAGTAATGAGATAAGAGGAGTCCTCTTATGAATTGTTTACTAGCTGAAGAAAAGAAAATATAGGAATAAACAGTCATCTTTTTCTGTTGAAGTGGGTTTCCCCAAGGGACCAGTGGGTTTTTTTTACTTATTAATATCTGATCAAGACTTTGGAGTGAACAATGACCAGCCTTATTGTTGGCACCAGTTACTTGGGCTAATCAAAGGGAAATATGAACGTAAAGAGGTTTTAAAATTTATCTCTGTATGGCGGGAATGGGTGTATAATTTTAAGTGCAATTCAACATAACAAGGGTCAACTGATGCATTTTGGGCCAAAGACCCCAGTGTGATCTGAGGAAATAATGATGGACCAAGATCTTTGAGTTGTGGTGGGCTCTTCTGAGTAATTATCCACCTTGTGACTGATGTGAAAAAATACCATTTCCTTGTTGGGCATAATTAGGAAAGAAATCTAAAATACCCTGCCAACATTATCCTGCCCTTTCACAAGTTTGTGGTGTGACCATGTTTGCCTTACTGTGTCACCAGACCGAAAAAGGAGATAGAGCTTGAAAAAGAGTGGGAAGGGGCAACCAAAATGGCAAGGTAATGGAAAAATCCCCTCATGAGGAATATGATACTTCAGACTGTTTAGCCTAGAAAAAAGAGGGACATGACAGGTTTAGAAAATCATAAAATTATGCATGGTGTGAAGAAACATTATATGGAACCCAGGATCATCTGCTGAAACTGAATGGTGAGAGATTCAGTATAAAAGGAAATACCTTTTTATACAATATGTATTTAAACTGTGGGATTTCCTTTAAAAAAAGAGAAATGAAGTAATGAAGTTGATCCGGCATGTGTGGATTTTTAAAAGGATTAGAAAAATTCATAGTGGATATAACTACAAATCATGTTGGTCACATATTAGGGGAATATGAGTCGATGGATGTTGCTGTACTCACGTCCCTCTTATGGGTTTCTTATTGTTAGCTGCTTAGCCACTGTATGAGTAAAATGCATGAATTCATAGGATTTTTGTCCGATCAAGCATGATTTTTAGATGCATATGACTTTTGAATGATGCTACATCAATACCGTAGCCAAGTTAACATGAAAACAATATTATGTAGAACACTATTGAGGTTTTTTTTTAAGTGGGTAATTAAAAAAATTGCAAGGAGTGCCTTCCTTTCCAGAACAACAAAACAGCTGGCAGTGGCAATAAAGTACATTCTCTAGGGACTGGTGAAACACTTCTTCCTGCATCAGTAACTCAATCTCTACTTTCTGCATTCAGTTATGAATGGAACTGCACATTCATCACAAGTTCAAGAATAAGCATTGGTATGTCGTGTAATCATCTTGGAAGCCCCATTTGTTTGAGATGACAAAAGGAAAAAATGCATGTTAATCCAAATGGTATCATGGGACAATTAAAATGACTTTTCTCTCTATCTAAGGCTAGCAAGAGAGCTTTAGGTTTAAATAGAAAGATAAATCCCCATTCCTTTACCCCAGCCCAGGAGAAACTTTACACCAGCCTTGAAGGTGACAAACAGAGGAACTTCATTTTGACTGTGATTTTTTGATTGGATGAAAGATAACAAATGCTGCTCCCCTCTTGCTTCTGTCTTGATGGTAGGTACATTCATTAAATATGTCAGATGCTCCAATTTTCAATCACACTGACATGGAATCACAGAATTCTAGAACCGGAAGGTACCTAAGAGGCATTTAATCCCCCACCCTCCATTCCACAGCTAAAGCATCCCTGTCAGGTAGCTGAATAAACTTTACCTAAAAATCCCCACTCAAGGAGAATCAAACTGCTCTTACTGTCTTAGTGTTTCCTAATGTTTAGTCAAAGTCTTCTTTTTTTCATCAGCTGAATGCACAGCTTCAAGTGCTACCCTCTAGAGCAGAAGAAAACAAGTGTTGTTGACTGTCTTCCACATGACAGCACTTCACACTTTTGTGGCTGCATATCTCTGCTCAATGATTACTTCTCCAGACTAGACATGTCAATCTCTTCCAATTTTTCCTCAGGGCTTGCTTTCGAGATCCTTAACTGTCTTAGTCATCCTTCACTTAATGTATTTTAGCTAGATTCAAGGTCCAGATTACCCCACCCATTAGTTACGTACAGCAATATTATAAATTCAATTCTTAAAAACAACAACGAAAACAACAATAAAAAACCCCTAAAAACTCCTCCAGTTTATGAATATGGGGCATTGTGTTTCTGTACCCATGATTCAAAATGCCAGGAAATGGTCCAATATTGATACCCAGTATCATGCCCGCACTGTCAGCAGGAGAAAGGATGCTGAGCTTTACGTAGCAAAGGGCATCCTG